GAATGTTTTTCATACATTTTTTCGAGCTAATGAGATAACAAAAGACAATTGCATCTATTATAGGATAGTCAATGTCGGTTTTTTACAAAAACTTTTATGTTAAAAGTTTTGCTTTGTATCTTACAATCTCATTTTTCTTATTTCATTTTCGCATAAATACATATTTATATCCCACTAGCTTAAAATCTTCGAGTGTTTTAGCTATAGGTTCAAAAACTACTATTTTATAAGAGAATATAATTCTACTTGGATTGCTCTTTTCATTTAGGTCAATCATCTTTATGTCGACATTCTTTAATAAATTTTGGATCAAGATCCTTATTTTCATTCAAAATATCAATTGCAACATTCTATGCAAAAATCTTATCGATAAATTTTTTTTTCGGTTCTATTCTTTTCCTATATTGACATAATTTATCAAAATCTCTTGATTTTTCTCAAGCATTTAAACTTCTTCTAGAAGCCTATTATCATAAATATATTGAATCATTTTATGAATATTTTTCTTCTTGCCTTTTCCTTTTAGGGATTTTTGTCTTTAGAATCGATTGGTTTTCCATGCTTCGAGCTTGCTTTAGATTCATTAGCTATAACATTAATAGAATGTCCCTCTAGGACATCAATTCTAATAGAAGCATTCTCAAGGAGGACATGCATTTTGGTTACTCTTTTAGGATATGAGAATGCATCTAGCAGTTGGTTTGTAATATCTTATAAACGAATTTATCTTTCGAACTTCTAGTTCATATTGTTTTGTACCAAATTGATATAAAGATAGAGTACTCTATGTAATCTCTTTTTTTCAACATTTCCAATTGCTTATTTTATTTATTCTCACCCCCTAATGTTAGAAAAATTGTTTCATCAATGTGATAGTCGATTAATCGAGCCGTAAAAATATCACTTATTTATGATTCAAGATATTTAATTATCGAAAATTATTCAAATTCATCATATATTTTCAATCTCCTTTAAGTGTTCATTTTATTTTGTTATTGAGAAGCACTATGGATATACATTGCAATGCCAAAAATTCTTAAATAAAAAATATTTGGCTCATAACCATAAATCAATTAAAGAGGAGAGAATTTTTGATAATTTTATGGGTCCGATGCGAATAAGTGTTGCTGCATGTAAGATTACATGTCCTTAAACATAACCAAGGAGGTTCATTTTTATAAATAATGGTTTAACTATCGATTGAAACCTTTTGATAAATAATTATGTTAAACCTTTCTACGCATAAACATAAGCAACAAGCTATTTAATCTTTATTCTAATAGTCAATCAATACTAAGCAAATGCTTGAGAAATAAATTCATCATCATTATCAAGGTGACTTGTTTGAATGGCATAATTTAAAAATTATGCTCGAAATCAAATTATTTACTAGTAATCTTGAAAACGTCAAATTTTCGATCGATAATAAACCTATGTGGATGCATTTATTAAAATCATACAATATTTAAATGATCCACATGGTGGATGACTTGATCCACATATATCACCTTGAATACATTCTAAAATACTAAAGATTCAATCTCAATTTTACTTGGTGATGGCTCAATAATCAATTTGTCTTAACAACATGCGTAACATGAAAATTCATCAAATTGAAGAATCTTCCGGCTCTTCAATAAATGTCCATATGAATTTTTAATAATTTTTTCGCATCATGAAAGACCCAAGATAACACAATTGGTCATGTCATATAATAAAAGTATTTGAATTAGTAAACTTCTAATTTACTATAGCATTTGTCTCAATCATTACAATATTTATAATAAATACTAGAAGAAAAAGTCGATAAATTTTCAATACATATTTTTTTACCCAAGTATAATGATTATAATATATAAGTATTCATATTTGCTATCTTGATATGATATCAATTTAGATGAATACCTTTGAAACTCAATAAATTTTTATGAGACTTTGAAGAGAATAGTACATCATTTATAATAAATTTATCCTTTCAAATAATAATATATTTGCTCTTCTAGAGCCTTTAAATTATGTCACTTCAAATAATAATATATCGACTCTTCTAGAGCCTTTAAAAGTTATCTTTTTAAGCAATAACATATCCACTCTTCTAGAGCTTCAAAAATTTATCTCCTCGGATTATAATATAATGGCTCTTTTAGAGCTTTCAAAATTGATCTCTTTAGATAATAATATAGTCGCTCTTCTAGAGCTTTGTATTAGATTAATATTATCATATATAATATTAACATAAAATAAATGATCAAATAAATCAATACAAAATAAATAAATAAATAAATTCCTTATAAACACAAATAAATAGTAAAATAAATTTATAACCAACACTATACGATATAAATTATAAGAAATATAAAATATTTTATTTATAAATAGAAAAAATAAAAATTAATTTCAATTACTATTATTTTGATATATAAAAAAGGCTTTCATATTTTACTCTTTATTTTTCAATAAAGCTTGACAAAGCTCAATGAGGTGCTTTAGTGTACAACAAGTACACGATCAATATTCATTCATTCCACATCTATAATATTTATTTTTCAGAATACCGACTTTATCTATTTTTATTCCTTTTTTTTTTCATAATTATCAACTTCGGTAGTGAGATGTAATATTATGGTCATCACAATTATAATGATAATTATTTCGATTACGTTCATGGTTATGACCACATCTTTGTCCATGCCCATAATTATTACAAATTATCACATTTACTTTAGGGAATTGAGTAAATCCAGTTGGATGAGATTTATTCATTTTCATCAATAGCTTATCATTTTATTTAGTCATGAGCAAATATGAAATCAATTCATAATATTTCTTAAATTCATTTTCTCGATATTGCTACTGCGAAGCATATTCGAAACATAAAAAGTAGAGAATATTTTTCATAATCAAGCACTCATAATCAATAATTCTTATTTGAAATATCAAGAGCCACAAAAATCGAGTTTATGAGGTTTGATATGATAAAAATTATATAATATAATATATAATAATAATATTAGAAAATAAAAAAACATAATAATAAAATTAAAGCTTTTCAAACAACATATAATAGATTATTAGATTCTATATATTAAATCATTAAAATTTTTCAAATAGATATTCTATGTGTCATTAGATTTAAAGTACACGATAAATTAGATACATATCTCATAATGATTTAAATAATTTAGATCTTTTGGTAGAGCACTTATGTAGAAGAAATCTAATGGTTGAAACAATTGATTAAGTCTTTTGGTAGATACATACCTCATGGTCTATTGTCTCGATTAGTTAAAGCTTCGTGCCGATAACGTATTATAAAATAAATAAAAATGATAAGAGAATTGAAGGAAAAGATGACAAGAAAAATGAAAGCTCTATAATGTAATCACAAGTGATAAGAATTTCAAAGTTTCTTTTATTCTCTCTAGAAAACTTATACACCAACTAATGAATAATCAAGCCTATTTATAGGCTTCAAATTTGAGAAGAGAATTGGAAAGGACTATAAATAATCAACTACATCACCCTTTCAATATCTCATATTGAATGATGAATTGAATCATATTAAGAATCATGAGTAGTGAGGATATGAAAAGTAGATGAACATGATGATGGACATTCATTATTTCATAACAATTTTGTAGTAGAATAAATAATAAGAAATGGAAAAAAGATTTAATAATAACTCGATGTTATGCCTTTTCTTCTTGTGGAACTTGCATTGCTAGTTCATATTAACGACAACTTGCCTTTTTATGGCAGTTAGAGATAACCCACTTGTGACAACATTTCCGATAGCTTTACCATTGATACTTTCAAAACATCGAGTTATAATTTTGAAATTGAGTTGGTAAGGGTAGCAAGCCTTTTTGGTTATTAGTAGGATTGTTGTTGTAATTTATAGGTACATTAAGTTTTGAGAATTTTATAGGTTTGTAAGTAGTGTTATTGTTCGATCTTGGATTGAAAGAAGAGGGATTGGAGTTTGGTTTTTTATTGAACAAAGAAGGAAGATGAGCATTGATTGAATCTATTAGAATTGTGTTGACTATTGAGATTGGTCTTTTGCAGCTTAGCTATAGCTACTAGCTTTTTAAGAGTCCTAGGTCTCATTACTCTTAATGAAAGTTCTATCTCAAGTCTTAAGCCACCATTAAAATAACTAATGACATAGTCTTCAAGTAGAACTAACCTATTAATAACGGAGATGAATTTTTTTAGAAAAGTTTGGATATCGTTAGTTTGCTTAATTCTCATTAATGTCGCCATAGGATCACCAAACACCATAGCACTAAAACGAATAATCATAGCTTCAACATAATCCTCTCACATAATGATAGAATTAACTCTATTTATTCTCATGAAAACCCGATTCCCTCTAAAGTCTCTTCTTCTAAAAATGTATGAGATTTAGATTTACCTTAGCAACTTCACAAGTTTTATTGATTATAAAAAACTTTTTCACATATAAAAGTCTATCCCTCAAAGTTCTCACCAAAAACCTAAAATCATATGATTGAAAAAACAAAAAAAAATATATGAAAATAAAAATAAAAATCATATCAAATTTAATATGCAATTATCTTAAGTAGATATAGTTTTTTAATCATTTATCTTCTTTGCTTCTGCTTTTTATTTTTCTTTATTTCAGTGTAAATGGAACCCACTTCCATACACATTTATCTTTATTGCTGGCAAATCTCCAATATTTGATTTGTTGACCTAACTATAAAATCAAATGGAAGCTGATGGGAAGACAACATTTGCTAGAAAATAATAAGAAGAAGAAGGAAGAAGAATTAAAAAAAAAAAAGTGTTTAAAGATATGATTGACCAAATTGATACTGCAAACCTCAACATGCCGTAATCTCAACAGCTCAGGGACAAAAACGCCAGTAAACTGTTTCACCAAACCATACAAAGACAATTCAGCGAATGAACTATTTAAAGGACAATCGAAAAAGAAAAAAAGAAGAAAAATTAGACAGTAGAAAGAAACAAACATGGCAACTACATCAAAGATAGTGAAAAAATTGAATCTCCAGCCCCACCCAGAAGGCGGATTCTTCTCAGAAACCTTCAGAGACACTTCGATCGTTCTTTCTTCTTCTCAACTGCCCTCTGAATGTAAGTTTCCACAAGATGCCATCTTCTTTTTCGTTCTGTCCCTTTTCCAGTGTTTGCAAACCCTCTAAAGATCTTCTATGCTATAGTAAAAATTCAAGCTAAGGATTCTGTTATTGCTAATCTTTGCTCTGCCTTCCTTTCTCTTTATGATTTGGTTAAATGAATAGATTCTGTTATTTCTATTTCACAGTCAATTTCGATTGGGATCTGAGCCTATCTGCACAAAAAAATGAGTCATTACATAACTTAACCTTGTTTTTTGTTCTCTATTTTTGGTTGCTTTAATGAATCTTTTCAAGAGATAATTTCAATTCTGTTTTCTTAAGGTAAGGCTGTGTTTTGGTTACATGGAATTGGGGACTTGAAATGTAGGACAGTTCAAGGGCGCTCTCTCTCTTGCATCCTTAGATTTGGTTTTAATTTTAAATGATGAGCTTGAAATTGTTGTTTACTTTGGCAAAAGTTGAGAATTCCATGGAATTGGAATGCCAAAATCATATCAAATTCTGCATGTGTAACACCAATACTGAGTTCTGGTATAGCAATGTGGCCTAACAGAGAATAGTTCTACTTGGCCTAGAAAATAGTTGATCTCTTGTGGCCAAGATATTAATTTTTTTTCCTAAATCTTCAATTTTCTTCTATTCACGGGCTTGGTTCTCTAAATATGAACAATGTACCACCTGTTGTGGAATCTTTAGTATAGTGTATATATTTGATGGCAGAACTATTCATGTAATTAAGCTTCAATTGTGAAAGCATGAAACTTTCAGTTTAATATTGAAAATTATATCGAGTAGCATAAGTTTCTTTTTTTAATTCTATTCTTTCTTTTCATTTTTGGTTTGATCAATCAATTTACTAATATTGTTGCCAGATAAGGTTGATCGTGAAGTGAGCACATCTATCTACTTCTTGGTACCTTCTGGGAATGTCTCACTCCTTCATCGCATTCCGTGTGCAGAAACCTGGCATTTTTATTTGGGAGAACCACTTACAGTAAGGCTTATTCTATGTGACACTGGTATTTAATTTTCCTATAGAATTGACAATTTGCATGCCATGATTGGCTCTTTTAAATCCTAACAGTCAATTGATGAGTAAGCATTGAACTTAACTAGCGCTACTAGAACATTCTATCCCTCCTGTTGGACATAGGTCATTCTACATTGTTTAGACAATGAAGATAATATATGGTTTTGAGCATTTTGATGTCTCATTATTTTAGTATTCCATTAGTTGGACCCTCGTTTAAAAGCTCATGTGCTATGGACATCTAATTCCAATTTATCATTGTTCAGGCATTATTAAATTCAACTAAACTTGATGAAGGTTTTCCCATTCCTCCGTATCTTAGCTTTTAAAATACCTATCCTCGTTTGCAAGTTTGCCAGTTGTCTTCCCTGAACAGTTCATGCATGAATGATGTCCATCACATTGTCCATTTTGTCCTTCTCCATTATTCATTGAACACCTTAAACTTGCTCAAAAGCTGTTGCATTTAGTCGTTCACTTTGCTTATGAACATCAGGTATACTTCTATGTTTAATGCTTTTTTATAGTCTCTTTTGGTGGATGAGAAAGTATTCATTTCATTTTTTGTGATCAATTTTGCATTAGAACATTTCAGACTTGCAATTGGGCAATGTGTAAGGGCTTTTCATACAGTAAAGAAGATACTATTGCATTGGACAATCCTAAGGGCAATTTTGATTAGCAAACTATTTGATTTGTTCAAAATAATTTGTGAGGAAAACCTACGGATCTCATTTGACAACAATTGCTTTGGACAAATCAAATGAGTTGGCTTATCCAAAACGTATCTTGGATGGTCCTATATAATAATAGCTCCACCTATTGCCAGAATAGATTCGTAGTATGTGACATGATTTAAGGAGTGAGTAGTTGTTGGTTAAAACTAAGCTGACCTGACCCATTTTGGTGCCATATGGTTCATTTTTTTTGAAAGTTTGGTTTGCTTCATGATTATTTAAAAAAAAAAGGTTTGATTTTCAGTATTTGGTTCAGTTTGGAGGGTTTGCAAACTGAACTGACCTAAAAATCAATATTTTATTTCTTTTTCTTTTTTAAAATTTTAATAACAGTTATTACGAATTTTAATATATGTAAAATCATATGGCATTTTCTATGTTCTATATATCTTTTTCCTAAAAAATAAAAAAATAAAAAATAAAAAAAAAACCTTCAATATTTTCATTTGGACAGTTTGGTTTAATTCTTTTTTCTTATTCACGGCAGTTTTTGGTTTGAGGTGCAACTATTTGGTTTTGAAAAACCAAAGCTAAGCCGAATTTTGTATTACATCTCTCATACCTACATTAGGGAATCGTGTAAAGACAGACTACTAGTTGTTGTCCTACCAATGTTGGGTCGTTAGAAGGAAAAATTTGGAATACTCTTCAGCACGTATTTGTGAAGTGGTCACTGCTATGAAATAGTACCTCCTAGTTGTGGCCCCAGTGAAGCTAAGTGCCAGGCAGTGAGGCAAATTCTGTGTTACAGCTCTTGGAGTCCAATCATGCATTGCATAAAAACTTGCTACCCAGTTGCAGTACAGAAAGTAGGCTCCTGGGATGAGAATTTTGGAAACAGTCCCACCCTTAATTGCTAATGCATGAACTGCAAGAAGACAACTTTTCATTAGCACTAGAAAATGACCCTTAATAAAATAAATTACTGTGGTAGTTCTTCAACATTTTAGCTACAAATTTGCTTCAAGCATTAGAAGACTGCCAAAGACCCAAGGATAACATCTCTGAACTGTCTATTTTAAAACTTGAAGCACTAGAATTGGATTGCATTATGCACATCAATATCAAATTGAAATGGTAATTTAAATTGATTGAAATTCAAGAGACACATATTTTACCTGCTTGAATTTGATGTAATCAAAATTAAGGCCATTTTGTATCTTGTTTACCTCATTTATGCCATGGTTTCCCTACTCATTCCCACTAAACCAGTACATAAACTGTTGAAGTTCTCGCCTAAAATTGTTAGATGTTTACCTCTGTCTTGCAATCTTTGCCATTTTGTCTTGCTACGTTTGTCATTTTACTTATTTTTCTAACGAATCACGTGTTTTTTTATTTTATTTTTTCCTTTCAGATACTGGAATTGAATGAGATAAATGGGCAGGTCAAATTAACTTGCATTGGATCTGATCTACTTGGAGACAATCAGCAACCACAGTACACTGTGCCTCCAAATGTCTGGTTTGGTGCATTTCCGACAAAAGACTACATCATTTCTCCAGATTGGACGGTTGCTAAAGCTGCACCCTCGGATGCTGAGAGCCACTATTCCCTAGTAGGCTGCACTTGTGCTCCGGCCTTTCAGTTTGAAGACTTTGAGCTGGCAAAACGCCCATATCTTCTTTCACGTTTTCCCAACCATGAGCCCCTCATATCTTTACTCACACTTCCGGAGTGAAGATAATCGCTTGGCCTTGCTGCAGTTTTCTTCTGCAATGAAATAAATGACCAATGTTGGGTCGAGGCTTGTAAAGGAGACGGTGACCATTTTCTGTGCTGCAGATATTGAGTCCATGAACTTTATGTTTCAATAGTAAAGTTAAAATATAAACTTGAAATTTTTGCACAAATGCACTATGGAAAACAACTACTAAATTTTCTTCTTCTTCTTTTTTTTTTTGGGAAAGAAGTTTATATTTATAATTATACCAAGTAAATTAGACATTAGTTCCTCTAATTTCGGAAAACGAATTAATTCCTCTTATTTTAAAAACTAATTATTTTTTATATATATTTTTTAAATTTTTTTTAACTTAAATCATTTTTTATATTCTTCAATTATTTTGAATAGTTGTTTTAAGAAATAGAAAGAGAAAAAATAAGTAAAATTTATCCAATGATTGATGAGAGAAGATGATAATTTATAAAATAAAATAATATTAAATTAAAGAGAGTCAATATTGGTTAAGGGATTAAATATTTAGTTTTTAAAACATAAGAGATTAAATTAAATATATATATATTTATTCTCAATCTCAATCTAAACAATGTTATATAAGAAGCCAAGCAATGCGTCGATAATTATCTAGTTATAAATAAAAATAAGATCCTCTAATATTTTTATTTTTATTTTTTCGTTTACATAGGAGTCCTTCGATTTGGAATTGCTAATATAGCTCTACTGCATACTGATTCTGACAACCTAGTATTTGGCATTCCTTGACAACGTAGTAATTACAGTTCCCCTGGTGGAGGTGGCTGTATTTGACGGTCAATGATGTCAGCAGTGTATAGAACTAAAAAGTTAGTCAGTTTTCTGCTATTCAGTATATCGAACTAAAAATATTTATTTTAATTTAATAATTTATATTATATTATATTAAAAATAAAAAAATAAAATTTTATTTAATTTTATAATTTTTAATAAAAATTTATATTTCATTCATTCTTTTTTATGAGAGATTTTGTTAAAAAAAAATACGATTTGTTTTTCATCATACATCAATTCATAAATAAAAGCTTGTAATAATTTAAATAAAAAATCTTATAAAGAAATTAATTTACGAATTTTTTTAACTTTTTTTTTTAAATATGCACATTATATATATATATATATATATATAAAGATACATTTGAATTATTAGGTAGTTCTTCTAAAATATTATTATAATTATTTTATTTGAAATAAATTATTATTAGAATATTAAAAATAATTAATAGCAATTGGTTGATATTATGCGTGCGGATGCATAGTTAATTTAACAAAACCAATAATCTCAAAAAAAAAAACAAATTATACATCTTGATTTGGGCCAAAGTGGGTAGTATAAATAAAAATATATTAAAAAAAAAACTTAAGTTGTAAAGATTATATATGTTGAAGTTAATAGAGTGTAATAAAAATAACTAGAAATTCATTCCATTTTTTTATTATTATATTAAGAATAAGCCAAAAAAACACATGAATTCTACTACTTAATTAATTATTTATTTAAAAATTGAAAGTCTATATATAGAGAAAAATATATCATATTTTAACAAATAAATTTATATAAAAAGAATAAAAAATTAATTTGATGAAAATTTCTATAACAAATGACAAATTGAAGGGATCAATTTTAAACAATAATAATAATATAATCTAGCATATTTTTTTATTTTTAAATCTAAAATAAATGAGGGGCTAAATTTTTTTAAAAAAATGTATATGAGGGAACAAAATGGAATAAGGTAAACATGTGTCAACATATCTTTTAAAAAAATAACAACCTAAATTTTTTTTTTTAAATGACGGAAAAATTTGGAAAAAAGTATAAAATTTGCAAATAAATACCCAAAAACTATAAAAATTACAAAAAATACCACACATGAACAATAATGAATAGTGACTTGAGGAAAATGAAAAGTAAATCACTATTCATTTTCCCCAAACCTTTTAGGTTTTCTTTAAATGGGGTATGTTGCGAAGCTTTATTTTCATGCGAAGAAAGGGTTTAAGATGGTAATTTCAACAGCAAAGTAACACTACAAAAACAACAAAATAGCGATAGATATGAAATTCTCAACAAATAACGACAAATTAGCAAATGAGTAACAACTATTATCTATCCCTCGACATTTTAGACTAATAGCGAGACTACCTACATATTATCGACGGACATTCAACGACAAAATACTATCGTCATTGAATTAAGTGGTAAAATTTTTTATTGTTAATTCAATGATAAAATACTAACTAAATTTTGACGCATCTTAGCAACAAAATACTTTCATTGTTGAATTAAGCAATAATTTTTTAAAAGATTAATTTAACAATGAAATATCAACTAAGTTATGATGGATGGTTTTGTCCGTCACTATTTTTAGGCTAGATATGGGGAGATTATTTAACAAAAAAAAAAAAGCAAAAAAATTCAGTAATGGAATTGTGTTCGTCGTTGATTGTAGGAAAAATTAGCGCAATTTAAAAAATCAAGCACCGATGAAAATTTACCGTTAGTGACAAAATTGTTTTCGTCCCTAATTATAGGAAAAATTGGTGCAATCCCAAAAATTAAACATCGATGGACACTTAATGTTAACGACGAAATCACATTCGTCGTTAAAACAAATACCTAAAACTAGCAAAACTCTTCTTCTTCCTTCATTTTTCCTATCCTCCATACCTAAGCTATTGCTACCACTCTTCCTCTCCTTCCCTACCAACGAAACCCACCGATTGGCCCACTCCATCCTCTCTCTCATTGTTTAAAACTTCTTTCCGTTAGAAAAAAGGTAAGTTTCTCTATTTTTCTTTTACCTATTTGATTTGTTATAGATTTTTATATATGTTAATTGTTAGTAAATATGTTAGGAAACTCGAATTCATGTTATTTGAAATTTAATTGAGTATTTCTTTTTAGAATTGTTTTGAATTAATTAGGCTTGGTTGTTGATAAATTATGTGACACCAACTCCCCGGCCCACTTGCCAATTACCCAAAAGGAGTGGCTAGACGAGGAGCGTGTCACGCTAACACGTCAAACGTGACTTAAATTTGACTACATCCATGCTCGGTACCGTAACAACATACTATATATTGAAATATGTATAATACAAAAGTACATTACAAGAATATTCACAGCGAAAGAAGTTACAATCAAAATAAAATCCCCTAAGGTTTGTGTCGGGCAACGTCCTTATCGGTATTACGATCACCGCTACTCGTCATAACATGCAAATAAGAATGAGGTGAGCCGAAGCTCGGTAAGTGGGGTGATGCACGTGATATGCAATGCTTTTCGACTTCCCACCATACTTATCAATTTTTATTTTCGGGTACCTAGGGTATTAGCTAGTCTACTCTATTTTTAATCCAGGTGATTATTGAATCACCTTCGCTACAACGGAATTATCCCTCGTTGTAACCACTCGTTAGCGAGAATCCTTCGTCTAACAGTGCGAGCACACAGACTTAGAGTACGTACACGGCTAGATCGCTAATATCCATTTTTCCTGTTACGTTACCAAACCTAATCGGATAAACCAATTCTCAATCAATTGACTTTTCTCCATCCGCCCCACAATGCACATGATGGACGTGATGTTATGTGTACCATATTAAACATATCCAACCCATACGAGTTTCGAACATACTCATACCCTTTATCATCATGAAATATTTTCATAGGTCTAACCCATATAGGGTTTCGGACATACTCATACCTCTTATCATCATATTCCCGTCGTTAGAATGAAATACCGACAAATGGTATTGGTTGAGTCATGGGTCTAATTATGTATGTGGATACTTTTCTTTTTGTTTCCTATAATAATTCGATCATTAAATTGTTCTACTCTTAAGTTGTATAATTATTAGCATTTGAACCCATTTTTCTCTCATATTAAGGTATACTTTACTTTCATTTTATATCTATTTGAGCCTTATTGACTATTAATTATGTTATTTTGGTGAAAGGAATGGAAACCAAGCAAGTATGAAGTAAAAGTGATGCATTTTGAGTGACCGAGTGAATTACATGGGCAAGGACACGCCTGTGTAGGAGGCCGTGTAACCGTTTAACTAAAGAAAACATATTTCTTCATTACACGAGAAAGGAAACGCTCGTGTGGGAGGCCGTTTAACTCTCTAACTTCAAGAAAAATACATATCTTCATTACATGGGCAAGGACACACCCGTGTGAGAGGCTGTGTAACTCTCGACTTCAAGAAAAATACATCTCTTCATTACATGGGCAAGGACACGCCCGTGTAACTCTCGACTTTAAGAAAAATACATTTATGCATTACACGGGCAAGGATACACTCGTGTGGGAGATCATGTAACTCTCGACTTCAAGAAAAATACATTTCTTCATTACACGAGCAAAGACACACCCGTGTGTGAAATCGTGTAACTCTCCGAATCGAAAGTTTACTCAAGAAGAACCCTAAAATTTCATTTTTCTTCCTTCCTTCTCCATTTAATTCAAGTCTATACAAGTCTCAAATTCACCCACCATGGTTTGGTTAGCCTAATTCCATCATTCACATCCCCCCTCCCAAACATGAATTTAATCATATACAAGGCTTTCAAAGTTTTAGGAAGCAACCAACACAACTAATCAATAGAACGAACCATACCAATAAGAATTGCAAGGTAAATCACTCAACACAGACCAATCACAATAACATATCACCACCTAAACACAAGTTTAGTCAATTGCATAAAGATTAAATAAATAGTATAAACAAGAAAAAGATAACCCACTTACTTAGTTTGGATGAGGTTAGGTTTCCTTAGCTTTTCTTCCCTTTTTCCTTTCTTTTCCCTTCTCTCTTTCTTTCCTCTCTTTTCTCTCTTTCTTTACTATTTTTCTCTTCCTCTCTTTCCTTGTCGTTTTTCTCTCTTGTTTGTGTAGCTATGGCCTACCTAAAATTTTTCTTCCATTCTCACTTATTCTATATATATACATGCT